TCCGCCTGCCTCGGCCTCCCAGAGTGCTAGGATTGCAGGCGTGAGCCACCGCGCCCGGCCAGAGTTAAGAGGTTTTGGGGATTGGACTGCTGAGTGCTGAAGGCCTTCTGTTCTGGCAGCTTTGGATGCTGCCCAGCTTATTCCCCTTGGGTTCTACCTATTAGGTTGCAGTGTCACAGATGGTCGCATTGAGCCACAGTCAGAAGCTTACCTGTGGTGCCAGCGTCTCAGAGAAGGGAACAGTGAGGATAGAGGCTTAGACTTTGGTTCTTGTGGACACATCGATTCCCTTTGTTGCGTGTTGAAGTTGTGGGTCACTAGAAGGGAGGTTAGTGAGGACATATGGGCCACATGGGAACGTCCCTGGTGAATGTGATGGGGGAGAAATGAAACCCTATCTAGTCCACACCTTAGACCCCTGCTCCTGGAAACATCTCCAAACACAGTAGTGTCATCTTAGTAGATGTAATATCCAGGACGTGAAGACCCACGGGTGGGATTTGATATGTGTGAAGAGGCGTGTAAAGATAACTGGGAACCTGGACGTCCTGGTTTTGGGAGTTGTAGTCCTGGTTCTGTATGGGACTGTCTCAAGCGTGTGCCTTCCCTCTTCTGGTAATGATGTAAACTTTGCATTTAGGGACTCAGCTGTCAACATGTTACTCAGGTTTACACGCCGCGTCTAGTTATTCTGGTTAAATTGCTAATTGGAATGAAGTAATTCAACACTAATTAATTTTTAACAACATGAACTCTCTGAGTTCACATTAGCAATGATGTTAGAATGAAGGTCTGTTGAGGCTGGGCAGGCAGAATGCTGGGAGGTAATAGGAGATATAGGTAGAGATTCATCTTTGTGCAGAAAAAAATGATCTCATTCTTTTGAGTGCCTGCCCATCTTCTCTTCTTTGCCCTCTTGTTCTGTTGAGCCACACTTTAATTTCTGGCTGGCTCATTCTAGAATGCATCTGTGTGTGGCGTGTGTGCACATGGGCGTGTCCTTTTGTTCTCCCCCTCACCCGCCTCTCCGCACTGCTTGTCTGTCCTGTGCATCCTTGTTTGTGTAGAATGATGCTGCAGCTGTTTGCTCTTTGCTCCTACTTGGTTCTCTCATTGGCTTGAAGAAACAGGTTTTTCAAAGGCAGTTCTTCTTAGTGTCCTAATCATCTCTGAGTGAATGACTGTATCTCCACATGGTGGTCCTCTGGCCAGGAGGCTGGACCACACTATGTACCTGGCTGGGGTGGGTGGGCCTTAAGAGGCCAAGAATGGGGAGAGGGGCTTGGCCCAACAGGCTGGGAAGAAGCCAAGGTTTCCCTTTTCTGCCTTCTGGGCGAATCGTGGGTGGATTCTCCTGGCTGGTATCACACTGAGTAGCATGCCTTCCTGGGACAGACAGCAAGAGAAGAGGACAGCACTGGTTCCTGCCTGGTCCTCATGCCTTTGTTACAACTGTGGTTGTCCTGTAGGACGTAGTGTCCTACAGCAAATGAATTATGTTTTTTTTTTTTTTTTTTTTTTGAGACAGAGTCTCGCTTTGTTGCCCGGGCTAGAGTGAGTGCCGTCGCGTCAGCCTAGCTCACAGCAACCTCACGCTCCTGGGCTCAAGCGATCCTACTGCCTCAGCCTCCCGAGTAGCTGGGACTACAGGCATGCACCACCATGCCCGGCTCATTTTTTCTATATATATATTTTTAGTTGTCCAGATCATTTCTTTCTGTTTTTTGGTAGAGACGGGGTCTCACTCTTGCACAGGCTGGTCTCGAACTCCTGAGCCCGAACGATCCACCTGCCTCGGCCTCCCAGAGTGCTAGGATTATAGGCGTGAGCCACCGCGCCTGGCCTGAATTATGTATTGGTTGCCTGGACTAAGTTGCCTTATACGTTATTATTTTTTTTTTGAGACAGTATCGTTCTGTCGTCCTGGGTAGAGTGGTGTCATCATAGCTTACTGCAACCTCAAACTCCGAGGCTCAAACAATCCTCCTGCCTCAGCCTCCTGAGTAGTTGGGACTAGGTGCATGCCATGATGCCTGGCTAATGTTTCTGTTTTTAGTAGAGACAGTGTCTGACTTTTGCTCAGGCTGGTCTCGAACTCCTGAGCTCAAGCGATCCTCCTGCCTTGGCCTCCCAAAGTGCTAGGATTATAGGTGTGAGCCACCATGTCCAGCCCCTTATACCTTTTTTATTTCTCTTTCTTCATAATCATCACTCCACAAGCATCTAATTTGTAACAAAACAAAGGAAATAGCAACCTTGGAAATTTGTTTTGTTTTTTCCTTGTTCATAAGCTTTTCCCAGTGGTGTGTTCATGTGTTCAGATGCCCGTCTTCCTGTGTTGACGATTCAGGCTGGGCTATGATACCCCTTCTGGTAGGGAAGCAGGTAGATGCCATGCTGTCTCCCTCCCTCTCACCTTGCTCTCCTGTGTATCTTTGCCATTCTTTCTGCCCTTGCTATGGTCTCTGGGGCAGGGCTGCTTAGAGCTTTGGAGATGGAGTCAGTGTTCTTCTGGGCAAGTTCTAAGGAGAGGACCTTGGCTATTAGGACTGATTCGATGTGTCACCTTTGCGTGTTAGTATGTTCTGTTTGTGTGTCTGTGTACCTGCCTACCTATATTTCATAAGTGGTACATGCTCGTCACAAACAGCTGAAACCGTGCAGATGGGTAGAAAGTAGAGTACAGGTTTGCATCCGTGCCCCCTTCCTTCAAGCTCCACTCCCTGGGGCACCTCACCACAGTCTGGCATGTATTCTCCATGTTCCTGCAGACGCGTGTGCACACACGTGCACAGCTGTAAATAGGTGGGAGCGTGGGTTGCATTCTGTGAGTATTTGCTTTGGTCTCGTAGCGATCCATTGTGCACATTCATGTCAGTGTGCACAGATCTCCTTCATTCTTTTTAATAGCTGCATTGCATTTTGTAGTAGGCTAAGACTATACTTTGTAAGCTGAGTACTTTAAATTAGGGTTGTGGGTCTTATTTGGTAGGTTATTGTGCATGCTTTGAGCTTGCTATAAATATTAATTGGGGAAGACATAGGACAGTTTAGCTTGGAGTGTGATTTGCCTCCAAGGTCAAAGGGTTGTATTTTTTTAGTGAACTATGAAAATGATGAACGTGAATTTTGAATTTTTCTCCTCTTTCAGGGACAGATAAAAGTAGCCAAGAGGCGGGTCGTGATGGCATCCCTCTACCTGGGGACAGGTCCTTTGGAACAGGAACTGGTAAGGTGTATGGGGAGGTGGTCCTAGCAGCAACAGTGAGTTGGCCCCAGTGCGTGCCAGCTCGTAGACTGCGGGGTTGGTGCAGAGCTGTCTTTCTGTGGCCTCCGCCTCAGAGCCATCTCTTGTTTTTATGGCCTCAGATATGGGCATGTCAAGAGGGCCTGGGGAGGAAGGTGAGAGGAGGCCTAATCTGGACCTCTGGCCTTATTGGCCAGTGTCCTCCTCACCCGGTATGGGGCGCTCTAGACTGCTCTGTCTACCAGTCCATGGCTCAGCAGACTGCAGCCCATTGGCCCAGTCTGGCCTGCCACCTGTTTTTTATGGCCCGTGAGCTAAGAGTGCTTTTTACATTTTCAAATGATTGTGGAAAAAAACAAAAGGAAAAGAAAATTTTGTGATTTATGAAAAGTATGTGAAATTCAAATTTCTGTTTTCATAAAGTTTTATTGGAACACAGCCATGCTTATTCATTTGTGTGTTATCCATTGGCTGTTCTCATGCTGCAATAGCAGAACTGAGTGGTTGTAACAGAGACCATCTGGCCTGTACAGCCCAAAATATTTACTATCTGGCCTTTTTCACAAGAGGTTTTCTGACCCTGTACTAGACAAACAGACCTGGGCGCTGGTCAGGCTGGCTGGTTTTGCCAGTGGCTGGCGTCAGGTGCCAGGTCTGCGGCCAGCCTTGCTCTGCCGAGACTTGCTGTTGTTCCACACATGTCATTCACAGTGAGGCGGGCAGGAGAGGGAAGGAGCCAGAAGTCACCAGGTTCGTATGAGGGGTGCTGCTTGTGGTATGGGCCAGTGCAGGTTCTGGGGCTCCAGCAGAACCTGAAGCTGAGTTGAAGTGAATGTGTAAGTGACGTCATCACGTTGTTTTGGCCTCCTGGGGTTGCTTTCTGCTCAGAGGTAGTAAAATGGGCCCATTGCCCATAGTAAATACTGTTTCTTGGTTTGTCCTTGCTCAGAAACTCACAGGTGGGAGCTGGAGGGATTGGAGTGCGGAGGAGGAGGGGGAGGGCAGTCAGCATTTGCGCTTCCCCTCTCCTCGGCCTCTACCTCTGCTTTCAGGACATAGCCTTAGCCACAGATTTGGGAAGCTTGTTTGTTCTTGTGGGAGAAGAATGTAATGTCCGATGCGTGGAGAATGGCCAGTGGGCAGGTTGTGTCTTGGATTCGTGCATTCAGCAAATATGTACCGAGTGCTCTCCAGGAGCAGGGCGCTGTTCGTTGTGTGTCTGTGAGGATTATCTGTGTTGAAATGTGTGTGCGAGCTGGTGTCTTAGCATTCTCAAGAGTGGCAAGGTCCAGCCTGCTCGGGCAGTGCGCCCCTGCCTCGAAAGCCCCCTTTCTCTTCCTGGGGGTGCAGGCTGGCGAGGGTGCTGGGTGGCTTCTGACCGTCCTGACGGAGGCTGTCTCAGATGGAGAGCTTTCGAGGGTTGGTGTCCACGTGCTGATGGTGGAAACCTGTGTTCAGAGGGGATGTTGAGGACGTTAGCTGACAAGTTGATTTCTTTTTTTAAAATATACAAACGTCTTTTTGGCCTTTACACTTCTCTTCTTTCGGGTTCTTTTCTTGATAGGTGGATTGCCTGGAAAGTGCTCTAGAAAAGTCAGTCCAAGCGAAGTTTCCTTCAGACCTCAAGGTCTCCATTCTCTTGGACTTCACACGGGGCTCCAGAGGTAGGTGGTGCGCGCGCCAGCCCCTTGCTCTTCCTCTCTCAGATCCTCAGGTTGAGGAGTTGCACTGTCCCCTCCCTGAGCTCAGGCAGAGACAAGGCTATTTGAGGATGGTGTTGGCTGGCCCAGGACTGCCTGATTGTCCGAGTCAGGCTTCCTTCTGCAGCAAATGACGGAAAGCCCAGCCAAAACTACTTAGGCAAAAAAGAGAAAAAGAGACATTTTTTTTGACTCTTGTGACTGGCCTGCTTTGGGTGGGATGTGATTTGGTGTTTGGGTATGTCACCAGGATCCATCTCCTGGTCCTGCTTCTTTTGGGCTGGCTTTATTCTCAGGCTCTGTATGGTGGTCTTTGGTGGCTGAGGCCTGTGTCCACATGACCTCTTGTCCATAGGAAGAGAGTCAGGCCAAAGCTCCTGAGTGGCCTGCCATGGCCGTGTGCCCAGCACTGAATCAACTGTGGTTGCCAGGGGCTTGGAGTGTGCCGAATGGCTGCGCCCCAGCCTGTGTATTCTGTGAAGTTGGGAGTGAAGGGTCAGAGTGGGAAGAGTCATCTTCACCCAGAACAGAAATGCCGAGAGTGGAAGTGGGGTGGTACCCCCAGGAGGAAGTTGGGTACAGTTATGGGAAGGAGGGTGAATGGGTGCTGGGTGGCAAAAACAGCAGGCATCTGCTATGCTGAGCACTCCCTGCCCTGAGCCGGGCCAGCAACTAGGTAAGAAGTTGGTCTAGAGGTCCCCTGGCTAGAAATGGCACCAGTTGGTGGGACCGATGCAGGTGGGCGGTGTGGGTGGAGGGCAGTGTCATTGCTCACTGGCGGGCAGGACGTCTTTCCTGGTGTGAATCACCTGTCCGTTTCCTCTGTCCCCACGTATTCAGGGAGGAAGAACTCGCGCACAATGCTGCTCCCACTCTTGCAAAGGTTTCCAGAACAGGTCCGAGTGTCCCTTTTTCACACGCCAAACCTCCGTGGACTTCTCCGGCTCCTTATCCCTGAGCGCCTCAACGAGACCATTGGCCTCCAGCACATTAAGGTGTACCTCTTCGACAACAGCGTCATCTTGAGCGGGTGAGTGCGCTCCCCTCTGTCGGTGCTTCTGCCTAGTGTTCTCCAGGGTGGAAATCAGCGGAATAAGGAGAGAGGAAAATCCTTCCCCGTAAACCCTGGAGAACCGCTTGTGTGTCTGGTTGCCGTGCTTGAGGCATTGCTCGAGGCATTGCCCGTGGCGCTGCCTCTGCCATGAAAGCTGGAAGCCCACAGGGGCTGATAGGAAGATAGTCACCGTTTATTGGGCACTTACTGTGTACTGGCTGCTCACGTGTACCATCTCATTTAATTCTCACAGTGACCCTATGTAGTATTTTCCTTACGCTATACATGCAAAAACAGAGATTAGAGAGACGAATAACTCTGTCAGACAGAGCCGGAAAAACAAGCAGGAGTCAGAGCCAGGATGGAAATGCAGTCCTCTTGCTCCTAAAGCACGGGCACTGATAGCCACGTGTGGTTAGTTGGCTTGGTGTCTGCGTCTCCTCTTCTCAGCTAGATTGTCAGCTCTGTGAGGGGAGGAGCCTTGCGGTCCACTTTTCCGTGTCACCTTAGTGCCACTCTGGCCTTGTCTCATGATGTGGTCATTGCTCAGAAGCTCTTTGCTAGTTGCATCCTGAGTTTGTCACTCCCTGCTAGTTCACCTGAGACCTGAGTCAGTAGGACACGCTGCTGCACCCTTGCCTGAGTCCTCACCTGCTTCTTCCCTCCCTGTAGCGCAAACCTGAGTGACTCCTACTTCACCAACCGCCAGGACCGCTACGTGTTCTTGCAGGACTGTGCGGAGATTGCCGACTTTTTCACAGAGCTGGTGGACGCAGTGGGGGACGTGTCCCTCCAGCTGCAGGGGGATGACACAGTGCAGGTGGTGGACGGGATGGTGCATCCTTACAAAGGTAGGGGCCTGTTGCTGCCGCCCTCCTGCAGTTGTGGGTGGGATGGGGTGAGGGCCCAGGAGAGCACACCTGGGTGGCCTTGCCGCAGGCATAGGAGACTTGTGTGGCAGTGCCTCATTCTGCTTTTGTCCGTGAAGCCAGACAGATGTGACTCACTGACCATCAGTCATGCTCTGCGGTGAGGGAGCCAGCCTGGGAAGGTGGGCGTGTGGGCTCAGGGCCTGAGTGCCTGGGCGAGTGAGCCAGGAGCCTGCCCTGACTTACAGGAAGCAGCCTGCCCAACGACTGTCCTCCTTGGGCCAGTTCCCCCAAACCTCCTATCACACGGGCCCTGTGGCTCTCAGCTCCCTTGAGGCCTGTGGCCTCCTGCCTGGAAAGTCAAATGGGAGAGCTCTCAGCTCTGCTCGCTGGAAACAGGCAAGTCCTGGCGTGAGCATTCCGGGCCATTTGCATTCCTATGATTCCTGTGGCTGTGGCTTCCCTGTGGCCCTTAAAGGGCTACTGCTGAATTTGCAACAGTGCCCGCAACTTGGGGAAGGGGGGTGAAACTTGGGCCATGTAAGAAGAGCTCCCTGCGTCCTGCGCACCTAGAAGGGAAGTGTCTATGTGGGGCTGCCTGGTGGAAGCCCCGCCCCCGTGCCGGGGGCCGGGGGGAGCTGCAGGCTGCTGAGCCAGGCCGTGATCTGACTTGCCTGTTTTTATCAATAAAAAACATGTGGATATCTGTTTCTCTCATTATATATGGACGTACATATTATCCTCAATTTTGTCTTTTGGCTCACAAAGCCTAAAATATTTACTGTCTGACCCTTAAAGAAAACATTTGCAGACCCCTGTCTGATGTAACATGCCAGGCGTGACCATGAGGGGAGATGGGTCCACGCTCAGGGCAGGAGTGGGGGTGCCGGCACGCACAGCTGTGCGCAGGAGAGCAGCGTGAGCACGTGCAGCGGTGCAGGGTGCTCGTGGCCCTGGCATTCCTTCTCCCCGCAGCCATGGCCAGCGTGTGGCATGTGCCTCCCTCCCCTGGCAGTTGCTGGAGTCAACAAGGATGGATTCCTGCACAGGCCGGTCCTTTTCGTTGTTCCGTAGCCCAGCCCTGAAAGGCACCCGAGTGTCTGCCTCTGCCGTCGGCTCCAACCGTGAGAGCAAGGGAGGATGACCCAGGAAGCACTCCTTCCCTCTATCGCTTTTGTTCCTATCAGCCTTGCCAGAGACTTGCTATTTTATCAGTCTTCTCTGAGAATCGACTTTTGACAGTGTTGATACTTGCTATTTTTGTGTTGTTTTCATTCTATTAATTTCTGTTATTTTTATTATTTCCTTCTTCATATTGTATCTTTAGTTTTATCCTATTGTTTTTTTCTCCTGACTTCTTGAGTTGGATGCTTAGGTGATGAATTTTTGATCTTGTCTAGTAATAGCATCTTTCCCTCTGGTATGTCTGGATGGCCACCCGTCACCAGGGTCTCGTCTGAATACGAAGGGCACCCCACCCAGGGCCTGGAGCCTGCCTGCCGTCCTTCTGCCCTCAGAGGCCTCTTGTGCGCTGTCACCACCCATGGGAAGCTTTCTGTGACTGTACTTAGGCTAAGGCTTCCTCTGTACACCTGTCTGGCATACGCTTGCTCCTTTTTGGGGATTTTACTTACACGTCTTTATTTAAATAAGCTTTCTTCTGAAGTGTAACATGTACACTGAACACCAGTCATGAACGTACAGTTCTGTACCTGTTCATAGTGGATCGGCCCCGCTTGCGTCCCCTCCCAGGCATTACCCCCACCAAGGTAACTACTGTCCTGATTACTGTCACCCTAAATCTGCCTTGCCTGTTTTTTTTTGGTTTTTGTTTTTTTTAGAGACAGAGGTCTCGCTCTGTTGTCCAGGCTGGAGTACAGTAGTGCAATCATAGCTCATTGTAGCCTCGAACTCCTGGGCTCAAGTGATCCTCCCATCTCCGCCTCCTGAGTAGCTGGGACTTAAGGTGCGCACCACCATGTCCAGCTAAATTTAAATTTTTTTTTTTTTGTAGAGATGAGGTCTTGCTTTGTTGCCCAAGCTGTTCTCAAACTCTAGGCCTCAAGCGATCCTCTCACCTCAGCCTCCCAGAGTGCTGGGATTACAGGTGTGAGCCACTGCACCTGGCCTATCTTGCCTGATTGTGAGCTTTCTTATAATTGGAATTATACATGGGCATGCCTGTCACTTCCACCCGAGTGTAGGCTCCTGTGGACAAGGTCCTTGTCTTGGGCAGCTGTACCTACAGAGGAGCCTCGCTCAGGGCTTTGTGCTTGTGCTCACTCGACATGTGTTCAGTAAACGATCAGTTGTAGCGTCTGCCTGTCACATGCTGTGTCCTCTGAGCCGGGCAGAGTCCAGACCCTCCGTTTCTCTTCCCATCACTCCCCTTTCTCGTGTCTTCCTCTAGGTGACCGGGCTGCATATTGCAAGGCAGCCAATAAGAGGGTTATGGACGTGATCAACTCAGCCAGGACCCGCCAGCAGATGCTGCACGCCCAGACCTTCCACAGCGACTCCCTCCTGACCCAGGAGGATACAGCGGCTGCTGGTGATCAGAGACCAGCCCCTGACACCTGGATTTATCCACTGATTCAGATGAATACCTTCGAGATTCAAATTGACGAAATTGTCACTGAGACCCTGCTGACTGAGGCCGAACGAGGCGCTAAGGTCTACCTCACCACCGGCTACTTCAATCTGACTCAGGCCTACATGGACTTGGTCTTGGGCACGAGGGCCGAGTACCAGATCCTGCTGGCCTCACCAGAGGTGAATGGCTTCTTCGGGGCCAAGGGGGTGGCTGGTGCCATCCCAGCGGCCTACGTGCACATCGAGCGGCAGTTCTACAGCGAGGTGTGCAGCCTGGGGCAGCAGGAGCGGGTCCAGCTGCAGGAGTACTGGCGGAGGGGCTGGACCTTTCATGCCAAAGGTGCGCAGTGGCTGGCCAGAGGACTGCTCCAGCTCGGGGGACCGCCTGTGGCGGGGGCGGGGTGGGGTACCACACTCCAGTTTATTTGCAGCACCTGCCTGGTAGAGCCCTGCCACTGCACCCTCTTGTCCTTGTGGTCGCCCTTGGAGGCACGTCGCAGTTGCCCCATGTCCTGCGAGATGAGAGCTGCCGTTTAGGTGAATTTCAGTCTTATGAGCTCCCTCCTTTTATGCATCAAAAACTTATAAAGTCAAATCATTTTGGTGGCTATTTTAAAAAATGTGGTCCATAGGCCGAGTGTGGTGGTGGTAGCTCCTGTAATCCCGGCTACTTGGGAGGCTGAGGTAGGAGGATAGTTGGAGACCAGCTTGGGCAACATAGTAATACCTGGCTCAAATTTTTTTAAATGTGGTACATGTACCCTCTCTCCTAAAATAGATGGAGAGGAACATGATTTGGTCTTGTCTTAACCGCTGGAATTCTCGCTTGCTGGCAGTGCTGTTCTCAGGGAGCAGAGAGGATTCATCAGGGATCATTAGTTTGGCATCAACAGCCCACTTTTCCTGTCTGTTCCTCACCATTGCTGTTTGTTTGCTTTCCTCTGGGCCAGTCCTTTCTCCCCATAACTGAGAAAATGGAGGCTGTGTACTTAATGTGCAGCCTTGCCCCATGGCGGGAACTGGGCCGTAGTCTGAATTGCATGTTTACTGTGATCCCTCTCAGGGAACCAAGGGACAGGAGCCCTGGGGCACCTTTCTGAGATGTGGACAAAACATGCTTAAAACTTGTGCTTAGCAATGAGCGGACCCCATGACCTCTAGGTGCTCTGAGGGTACCCACTTCTGACAGCGAGACCACATGTCCTGTCTGACTCGCGGGGTACCTTTGTAACCCAGGGGGTTAGTCTGTGTTTAAAGAAGGGTAATGGTGCCTGGAGGCCCCTGGACCGCGAGTTCAGTGCATGGCTTCTCTGGCTTCTCTGGCTTCTCTTTGGGCAGCTCGGAGGCCTGCTTTCCTCTGCTCCTGTCTTGGAGGCTTCCTGAATTGCTAGGGGAGGGGGAGGAAGGTGCGGTTGCCTGGCCCCCTTTCTCAGGTGGGGAATCCAGGCTGCAGACCGCCACGGGCACACATCTGTGTTCTTTAGACTTGAGGTCATCTTCAAATCCTCGGATCAAACTCTTTTATTTTTTTGGAGGCAGGGTCTCACTCTGCCCAGGGTGGAGTGCAGAGGCATCATCATAGCTCACTGTAACCTCCAACTCCTGGGATCAAGTGATCCTCCTGCCTCAGCCTCCCAAGTAGCTGGGACTACAGGCGCCACCAAGCCTGGCTAACTTTTTAAAAATTTATTTTGAAGAGATGAGGTCTTGCTATATTGCCCAGGCTGGTCTTGAACTCCTGGGCTCAAGTGGAACCTCTTGTCTCGGTCTCCCAGAGTACTGGAATTATAGGTGTGAGCCACTGTGCCTGGCCAAACCTATTTTTTTTTTTTTTTGAAGAGACTATGTTGCACAGGCTGGTCTCACTTTTGGGCTCAAGTGATGCTTCTGCCTCAGCCCCTTGTGCCCCCTCCATCCTTTCCTTTTTCTTTAACTAGCTCTTTGGGGGTTGAACCCAACGTGGTGCTTTCAAGAAACTCCCCAGGAGGTTCTGAGCCTAGCCTTAAGAACCACTGTCACAGCCTGGAGTGGCAAACTTTTGACCTGCCCAGCGAGTCCCGCTTGCTGCTTTGAGGCCCACTTGCTGGCTCAGGCAGGTGGTACTGTTTGATGTGGGAAGTGACTACCCCATTTTCCCGTGGGGCTCATCCTAGCGTGTGTCACAGGCCGAACCAGGCTGGTGGTCAGGTGTCTCGGGGCGGGTAGAGCCAGCCAGTAGGGGGTGTGCCGAAAGTGTTTTCGGATTGGTGTTGTTACTTCTGGGAATAGCAACAATGCCTGGGGGTGGGGTGCCGAAGAAAGAGCTGAGCAGTGGGGAGAAGCTCTGAGCTTTGGAGAGGTGCTATGCCATAGACCCCTGCAGCCACGCGTGCGAGAGGCACGGGTAGATATTGCTCTCTCCTCTTCTGCACTGTGGCTGGGACAGTAAGGGGGGTCCCTTGTTGCTTGGGGCCTTTAACTCACCTTGCAGGTTGGGAGGTTTCTGGCCTGTCAGTTCTGACTCTGCCGCCGGTAGATTTCCCTGGAGCAGCACTGATAAACGTGAGGTGACTCCCCAGTTACCGTTGAAACACCCAACCTGCTTTTCCGGTGTGTCTTGCCTTTTCCCGGACGGGCAAGCTCTTGCCACTCCCTCTCTCCCACCCTGGTGCGGGTGGGGCCCGGGAGTGCTGGATTAGCGGGGAGGCATGGATGATCCAACAGCTGGATCCCAGGGCATGTACGTATGTGAACGTGCATGTGCATGTGTGTGTGAGAGTGGCTGAGGTCGGTGGGGGGTGGCTGTTGTTGGAGGGGGCTGCATCTGAGCAGAGCGGGCCTTGTCCTAAAGCCCAGAGCCAGGGGTCAGATCATTCAGTGCTGAAGTGAGAGGCCAGGTCTTTCCCTGCTTGGTGGCTGCGATCCATCATGGGACCTAAGTCAGCACCTTCTCTGGTTCATCTTTTGATGGTCACTTGTCCAGAGCAGCCTGTGTTTGTTGAGGGATGAGTGGGCAGCCCACATGGCGGTGGTGGATTTGGATGGTTGGTGCGCTGGACCATTCCCTGACTGTCTGCCTTTTGCAAGGCTTATATGGATACAAACTGAGTGCCTGTTTGGAAAATTCCTGCCAATAGCTGTGCAGCTGATAACATAGTTCCCTTACCCAAGCTCCTGCAGGGGCAGGGCGGGGTGGCTCACGCCTGTAATCCTAGCACTCTGGGAGACGGAGGCGGGAGGATTGCTTGAGCTCAGGAGTTCGAGACCAGCCTGAGCAACAGTGAGACCCCGTCTCTACTAAAAATAGAAAAAATGAGCCGGGCGTGGAGGTGTGCACCTGTAGTCCCAGCTACTCGGGAGGCTGAGGTAGGAGTATTGCTTGTGCCCAGGAGTTTGAGGTTGCGGTGAGCTGTGACGACATCACTGCATTCTAGCCAGGGCGACAGAGTGAGACATCGTCTTCAAAAAATAAAAGAGAGAGACCAAGCCCTTGCAGGGCAGACTTGGGCTCATCCTGGCTTCTCCTGCTCCCAGAAGCCCTTGGGCAGAAGATAGTGTGCCTGGACTCTGTGGGTTCCAGATCGTTGCACCTCGGACAGTGCTCTGTCAGTGTGGTGCCCCCCTGGGAGTCAGGTGGCAAGAGGCTTTGAGGACTGACTCAGCGCTGAACTTGCTGAAGAGTGGCTTGGTGGGGAGAGAGCCTTCTTGGGCCACATGGCCACTTCAGTCAACAGCTGCGGTGGATTTCACTACTGTCCGATAGCAGGACATTTCTAGGGCTTATTCTTTAGTACTTTCTGTGTTTCCAGATGTTGCCGGGACTATCTAGCATTCGCTCCGATGCCTCGTTGGAAAGATTCTTGTGCGATAACCGTTTGCTGAGGTACTGTTTATTCTGTTCAGTAGCCTGAGTATACCTCTCTTGTGTACTATGCTGATTTCTTAACAGACTTGAATATGTACATAGATATCACATTTTAATAAATTAAGCTGTTTCAAAGAACTATGTAAAGCCATACATTAGAGACTTTTTTTTGCAATATGGTTTACCTAGTTTTTATTTGTTTTTTTGCAAAGAGCACCTATTCAGAAAACTCGGGAGACCCCATGTAAGCATGATTTGGTGTAGAGGTTACCAGACTTGGAATCTAAAAAACTTAGAAGCTGGGTTCTTTGTCCCCCACACCTTTTTTTTTTTTTATTAAAAAAAGAGAGTCTTGCTGTGTTGCCCAAGCTGGAGTGCAGTGACTCTTAGTTCACTGTAGGCTTCAACTCCTGGGCTCAAGTGATCCTCCCACTTCAGGTGTCTGAGTAGCTAGGATTACACCTGTTAGCCACACTACCATGCCTGACTGACTTATTTTTTTTTTGTAGAGATGGGGTCTTACTATATTGCCCAGGCTGGTCTTGAACTGGCCTCAAGCGATCCTCCAACTTTGGCCTCCCAAAGAGCTGGGATTACAGGTGTGAGCCCAGCCAGAAGCCTGGTTCTGAGTCCAGATTTACCTTTGGCAAAAGCTGAGGGACCCTGTTTAACTTCCTCCTTGTAGAATGGGGTGATGGCACTGGATTGTCAGGAGAACACGGTGGCTGCACAGCCAAGTTTCTGTGAAACAGCTGTGTGGTTCCTGGGCCGTGGTGAGACCAGGCTTGTGTGGAGGTTGGAGACACACGGGGGAGAAGGGGCTCTGTGAGTCCTAGCACGAATGCTTGGCAGCAGGTGATCCTGGACCCCTGGCGCTGTGCCTCTGGCCTCGTGACCTGCAGTTTTGTTGCTGTTCTCCCTGCAATTTGGTCGTGAGGGAAGGCGCCGAAGCCGGAGGTCTTCACCTGCATCTCGGCTTCCGAAGAGAGTCCTCAGGAGGGGTATCGGGGTGCAGCCTGGATGGGCATCCGGGGCAGAGGTCAGGCTGCTGGTGGCTCCACTGATTCACAGTTCAGCAGTTTCCTGTTGCCCCGCCCTCACTCCTTGCCCAGTATGCGTGGTGGGCCGAGGTTCTTGGAGCTGGGGTAGAATTTGGACTCTTAACAGGAATCACCTCAGCAGGCTCTTCTGAGTGGGTGCTGGGATTCCCCTTCCAAACCTGGTCCTGGTCCGAGCGGGGTGTGGGGCCGGGGCAGACTGGCTTTGTCAGCGTGAAAGTGCCACGTTTACCGTGTGCAGCGAACTGACCTGGGGGCCTGGGGGGCAGCCACTTCGGGGCAGCCTGCGTGCGCGTGAGCCATTGCAAGCCGGTCTCACGTCTCTTCTTGAGCTTTCTGCTCCATGGAGAGGGGAGGCCGCGGGGGCGGTGCTCGTTGTCTTGGCTGTCTTGCCGGGAGCACCCTTTCCAGAGAGCCACAGCCCTTTCAGGCAGGGATCTTGGCCATGTGTGCCACACGGTGCCCTCTGCTCGGATGCAGCCTCTGCCCTCGGGCGTGCTTTTTAGAGGGAGGATCAGAAAACGAGTTCGAACAAGTTGACCTTGATTGCTTCTGCTTGCACTATTCTAGCGTTAACCATGTGGGTGGCTAGGGCAGAGCAGGGGTATCGGATTAAGAGATTTCTGGCTCATGCTGACAGGGGAATCTGTTAATGATTGTGAGAATGTCACTATCTTTATTGCCTTCCTGATAGGCCAGTTGGCGCAGTGCCCAAAGGTGAACTGATGGGGAGAGCTGGAAGCCCCGCCCTGTTTGCGTGGGCCCCACTGGGCGGCCCTCACCTGCGACCGAGGTGGGCGCCCCTGGGGGCTGTGCCAGTGCAGATTGCCTCTTTAGGCGAGCACACACCAGCCTCCAGGCCTCTTAGAGTTTCTCTTGGCAGAACAGGCAGGTGCTTATCCGTGTAAGGACAGGACTGTGATGTCTTCTGTCCCCTCCTTGTTTTTATAGGGGTCTGAGAACCCTCTGAGATTTATTGCAAAGTACTGTGGGGGGTGGCTGAGAGAGGGGTGCATAGCTTGAATTTTCCTGGGAGATCCTCAGAGAAGCCCCCTAGCCAAAAATGCTCATACGCTCCTGCTTCAGAGCCTCAGAATTCTGCACTTAATTTCATCCTCATTTGTCAGAAGAGCCATCATTACTCTCATTTTATTTATTTTATTCAAACAGATATTTACCGAGTATCTGCTGCATGCCGGGTGTCATTCATGGCATTGGGAATGGGTCCTTGGGGACAAGACTAACTCCCTGCCTGCCTAGGGCTTGCAGATTCCCGGGAAGCACATAATAAGCAGGTGAATCTCTAAAATACATATCAGGGCGTGGCAAGAATTATGAAGACCAAAGCAGGAAGA